CTTGCCCCGAGTCCGCTCAGTAGAGGAGGAACGGCTCCTCCGGTCCAGGTCAGTGCCGTCAGCGCCCTTCGGCTCCTGCTGCAGGCGTCAGGATGTCCGAGAACCAGCCCAACGCCAACAACCACCACCCGGCCAACAACAACGGGGGCGGTGGGGCTGCCGGGGGGAACAACCGGGGCGTCCGGAACCCTAACCTCAACCAGAACCCCCTGATCAACGTGCGCGACCGCCTGTTCCATGCGCTCTTCTTCAAGATGGCAGTGACCTACGCTCGCCTCTTCCCACCCTCCTTCCGCCGTGTCTTTGAGTTCTTCGTCCTCCTTAAGGTGAGGGACAGCTTCATGGGGAGGAGTGGATGTTCCTCTTGCAGTTGGGTGCTAAGGTGTATGTTTCCTTATAAACACAAAAAAGCTTGACTCTTCTAGAGGTCGCAGCCTGTGTTTGGGCCACCTACCCCAGGCCATGCACTGAGCTCCCCTGGGCCTCTCTTCTGACAGAAAGATGTGGGTAGTCGTGATGGTCTGTGGTGGTCCCTGCACCCCCAGAGTTCTGCTACCAGACCTGGTAATAAGAAAATTGCAGAGCCAGCTTGCTGGGCAGCCAAGCTGGAGTAGGTCAGGTCCAAGGATGTGGGCATGAAAGATTTCTGTTTCTAAGCCATCACTATTTTTGGATATATAGTGCACATTAGGTACTTGATTGTTTGGAGTTTTGCTGGAGTCTTGTCTCTTCTAGAAGCAGTTAATGCACAACCATACTTTAACCCCATTTCTTTTTAAGCCTGCACCCTCAGCTCTACCTGCACAGCATTGCACCTCTGGGGACCAGGGTGAAAACCCACCTGCTTGCTTGTTGAAGCCCCCACAGAGGGGCCTGTCAGTGTCTGCGGGGTGCCGTGCCCGTAGGTCAAATCCTGCAACACGGCTGCCAGCACACGCAAAAAATTCAGTGTTTTTAACATTTCTCCTTTTTTCTTTCTGTTGTATGAGTGGATTCAGGCAGGTGAGGAGGCTGGAACAGGGCTGGAGCTAAAGCAAGGCTGTTGGGCAGAGCAAGTGGTCTGGCTGGTAGCAGTTGTTGCTGCCATCCGCTTTTGATCAAAGTGCTCCTGAGGCAGTAAGAGTTTTCACAGGGCACCTGCAGAGAGCAGCCTGCTCCTGCCTGCGGGGTAGGGGTGCAGTCTCCAGCCTCTCTTGGCCCTGTGCACAGGATGCAGTGAAGGCAGAGGCCACGGTCCTGTGTGTGTTCAGAGTCCTCAGATGGCTTCGTGGCGGCTCCTCCTGTGATGAGGGAGGTGTTCCGGGTTTACCTCCCCTCCTGTCTTCCTCTGCAGCTCCTCTGCGGATGAGATGTTTACCAGGCTGTTTGTTTGCAGCAAATAGGTCAGGAAGGATCTGTAGCAAGGATGGGTCGTGTAATTAGGGATGAGCATCGTAACACAGTCAGAAAGTGAGTGTTTGAAACTCAGCCATCCTGCCTACTGTGCCAGCGTTTCTCAGAGCTTTCAGCTGTGAACTTTAGACAGTGTTAGGTAACATCGTGCTGGACTTACTGTCTTTGCTATAGGGAACAAATTTTATTAGTCCGGTTTGTTCTGCTGTGAGGTTGCAGCTGTTCTGCTGTTCCTTGGAGTGAGCCAGGCAAGGGAGTGGTGATGCTCCAGCCCTGGCAGGCCCAGCTCAGCCTCCCCCGTGGCAGGGTCTGCACCTCGCAGCAGCGAGTGGTGGGTCTGAGTGCAGAGCTGGGCCTTCTGCTGTGGGTTTGAGTTGTCTTGCTTTTGTGGTGTGTGGTTGTCGAGGTTTGCTTTATTCTGCCTGTG